TGACCAAAGAATGTGAGATCAAGACTGAAGTCATGACATTACGCGCACTTTCCCCGTGTAATGAAATAAGAACTGTTCACCTCTGATTGAACATTTTTTTTTGTTTTGACGCCGCCGTTTGATAAAGCAAATAAGTAACTTGTGGCATCCTCGAGGCGGATGTTGCGAAGTTGTGCTAGTGCAAGTGCTTTGTATTGATCAAAGCTTGCAACACTTGCAAATTGCACTTTTATTGCCGTTATTTTAGACGACGGCCCGTTGGTGCCCTATCTTCGCATTTGTCCCAGCGATCAAGGAATCAGGGTGCGTTGGGATGAAGTGCAATTAAAATCGCGTAAAGTGGAAGAAATTCGGGTGAGTGTAAATGAGGAAGACGGCTCCGGTGGCACGATGGAGGCGAAGGTGAACGTGAACGATGGAGTGGTCGATATTGATGGGCTGAGACCCTCCACACTGTATGCGGTAGAGGTGGAAGGCTATCGACAGGCTACTCGTGTTTTTGCCAACTGCAGTGTAATCAAAACCCGCCAAAGCGGTAACTTCCATTAGCCTTATATTGGCAGCGTTTTCCAGGATCTGTCAATGCCTGTGCTTTTACGATTGTTTGCACTGATGTGTAGGAGCGTAGTCGTAGATCATTTCCGCACCTCGTGGGTGTCAATTTTGTCAACACGAGTGGTGACAAACGCTGTCCCAATGTGGCCCAACTGTGTGTCACTTGGTATCTTTAGCTCCTCCGTGCATAGAGGCTGTGGAAGGAAGAGCACTGTCAGCGACAGAAATATACCTAACGTGGTCTGACACTGAGCATCCCAATGTCACAGTCAAATCCTACCTTGCCACTTGTGTTGTGGCCACTGCCCCAGGCAGCTCACCAATAAGGGCTTCAACCAAAGACAACGAGACGCTGTCTGTTACAGTTGGAGGCCTCAATCCAGATGCAGAGTATCGATGCACCGTGTTTGCAAATGGAGAAGAGGTGAATGAGCACAATCCGCCGCGATGCAGAGGCCGTGAAATGCCAATTACCATTCGAACCATGGCTTTGGGTGCGTTGAAGCATTGACATGTCTTTTATGTCGTTGATATTCGAAGTGGCCTGCAGTACAGTGCAGTTGGTACACGACTAGGCTGTGTTGCAACACTACCATCTTGTGCGGCTCAAATAAGGAACAATGCAGACGGAACTACGAACATGAGAATTAGTGCAAGCAGTCGTTAAGCAAGCGAATCTGACAGGCAGCCTCATCTTATTATCTGATTAAAGATAATTTTTTAAATTATTTCTCAC